ATCATCACTACCAACCAAATCATGACCAACATCGACCTGGAGACTTTACATCGAATCATTTCAAACCAATAGTCTACAACTGGGGGATAAATCCATATCATCCAGAAACTTCTCCTATCAATCAACAAAAGAACAAGACACCTTTCAAATGATGAAGATGAAAGGCAGAACAGTATAAATATGAAGCTTCCTGAACCAGATACCCATAATGTTGATCATAAAAAATTCACTTCATTGGCTTTTGAAGGCACAATTTCAACTTCAACTTCAACCCTGACTCGAACACCTTAATCAACATTCAATGGTCACCCTAATAACCCTTAGGATTTAGATCAGCTCAAATTGATCTCTTGGTTTAAATCTCGGAAAATATCAGATGGAGATGATCAACTTAACCTTGATTACTTGATCTGATCACTTCAATCAAATTCAAATGTGCTCAATTAGTTTCTTATTTGACTAATCAAATGAAATTGAATTTCATTCAATCTTCAACTTGACCAAAAAATAACTTTGAATTTTTTATAAGTTCACACTTTCAGGAATCACAAACAAGTTAGCCATTTCTCTCTTTCTTGATTTTGTTCTTCCCAATTTGTTCTTTGATTATTTTTTGATTTTGTTATATAGTTACACAGGTGCTTTTGTGCCTTTGCAGGTGCAATTAACCTCATCAATTGATCAACTTCTACAATGGTAAGTTTTAATTTCAATTCATTTTTAGAAAAACTATGTTCAGACTTGAGTGTATCTTTAGCATGCTGAAATGATTGAACAAGCCCTGTATGATTCATCTCTCTATCTGACTCCTAATCTCCAACCTGATGGATCAATGAGTCTCTATGCAACTTGGCCTGAGGCACACGATCCAGCTTAACTTTGATTTCTAGCATCTACTCTAGACAATTCTCTGTCTGGAAAACCTTGATATGACCTTGATTAAGATATAGGGGTTTGTGAGAATCATGGAAAATTACAATCATGTGGTTTGATTCACGCCAAGAAGGGATTAGAAATCAGTGCTGATTTAGACATACAAACAGGTGATCTTGAGTTAGCTAAACTTGATGTAGTTAACTAGATGATGATCTATCATGAAGGAAGATACCTTGGTTGAAGATTTGAAAATATGGAGTGGATCATAGACAAGGTATCAAAACCGCAAGAAAATTAGTAGGGTTGACAGATTTAGAAAAATTTCAAGATACCTCAGCATTCTTTCTAGACTTTGTAGTGATGAATGATTTTGGAAATGTTTGTGATGCACCAGATATCATTCAATTCATATACATAAATCAAAGCAAGAAATGGATAAATAAAGTAAATCTGCTGAACTCATTAAAACTGCTTTAGAAACATTTCTGGATCAATTTGTGTTGATTAGTCAATTTGATCATGGTTGAAGCTGTAATGAAAAACAACTGCTAGAGCATTATATATTTTCCCTTTGTGACATCAATTTCATGCTGGTTTTTTGAATAAAAAAGTGACTCAAACCATGTCACCATATCAAATGAAACCCTGTTAACTTACCCACCTAAGTTATGACAATCTAATTCTCAAGATCAAACCAAAAAGTCACTGTGATACAGAAGTATTGGATTTCTTATCACATTGTTACAGATTAGCAATGACAGGTGGACAAGGATTCCATCAAGTTGACAAATAATCATTGAAAATTGATCTCAAGACTTTGACTTACAAATTAAGTTCCTCCAAAACAATATGTAAAAGTAAGGGCAATATCTTTCTACTCTTATCAGAAATGTTTGATTTACGTACAACATCAACTCACAAACCCCTTCTGGTTCTTCCTATCTTTGTATATCAGGGATATCAAATGATTGATAGCTGGGGTGGCTGGTAAGCATTGATATGGGAGGCTTTGTGGTCTAAAGTCACTTATTGATATCTAAATGTATAAAACTAAACGGTTCAACAGCCCAATGGAGTCAATCATGAAACTACATCTTGGCTGATCCATGTCAATTAAGTCAAAGTGATATTTTGAAGAGTCTATCCAAGATCAATGATGATGGATGTTGTACCACATAGAATACAATGATGACATCCACATGATTTGATATGTTGAAAGCGGCGCCCGCCGCTGATGTGCGAGTTATTACTATTTGATTTGTTATAACTGAAATTTGAATTAGAAGAAGTGATTAAATTTGAAGAATTTAAAAGGTTTTGATTGACGGAATTAAAATTTGGTTGAACAGGATTATTCATCTTTGATTGATTGATCATATTCAAAAGAAGACCCAAAGTGTTTATATTGTCAATTTGATTCATACTATTTTGATTTAAGGTATTTTGAGTTTGATTTGGTAAATTTAAATGTCTATTATTGAATGAATGAGTGTTAAAGTTGGAAGTATTATTGTTCAATAAAGTTTGAGTGTTGAAATCCGTGTTAATAACACCATCATTAATATTCAATAAGCTACTTTGATTGTTCATTAAATTACTTTGATTCATCATTAAGGAACCTTGATGGTTTGATGGAATTTGTTGATTATTGTTGAATGAATGATTATTATGATTATTGAACATCTGATTACTATTATTCATCATCATATGATTATTACTATTCATCATATTATTCATATTATTCATCATTTGATTACTGAAGTTTTGATTTAAATTGTTGTTTATATTATTCATTTGATCAGGTTGTAAACTGTTGAAATTGTTGTTGTGATTATTCATCTGATTGGTATTGTTGAAAGGTTTAAAATCACCCGTAGGGATTTGGTTGTTGAAGTTGAAGTTGTTGTTTTTCATTTTAATTTGATGTGAAGAGTGAAAACCTGGCGTGACTAGCTTTAAAATTGAGAAGTTGATGATCTTTTGAAGGGTGGAGGGTTGAAAAAGTTCAAAGTCCGTATTCTAGAGTGGAAAAGGGGGGAAAGGAGCCAAGGGGCCTCTATATCAGTGGATGTGTACGTGAAGTTTGACCAAACTTCCATGTACACACACGTTGTAGAACTCTTTCAGTACACAGCTGAAAGCAGAGCCAAGAAGGGGATGAATGAAGACACAAACAACAACACACACAATCAAAAGAGAAATAAGTCTTGAGATGGTGAATTGAAAGACTTCAAACAAGAAAGAAATGCCCTTCTTAAACAGGGACTTTGGTTATCAATGAATTAAATTTAAGACCTTCAAGTCTTTGGATTAATAAGAACCAGGCTGAAATAGGACAATAACTTCAAAAATAGCACAATCTAGGCGCACTCAGACACCTTCCAAATGAGCAAATGAGCTTACAACTCAACAAGAAATTAATTAAAAGATGAATAAGGGTCTTATTATTATAAAATTCCAACTCTCATTAGTTGTTCACCTGAATGATCATAACACTAAAGGCACAACCCAGTTTCTCGGCGAAACTGGATTAAACCCCTAAGCCCTTAATAAGCTGTACACCTAAGACTCTGACCTCCTTAGGCTCAGCTGTTCCCGACCCCACCTCTGTTCATGGCCTGTCAAACTACTGTGAGTTACAGATGATCTCTATTTCTTCCAGTTGCATAACAAACTAACTTGTTCCTCTCATCTTTCCTGTTCATCGACAATATCACAGTATGGTAAAACAGAAAACAACAAAGAATCCAACTTCCACTTCAAATTCACAACAATCAAATTGTAAGTTGTCAATTTCTCATTTTCATAATCAACAGAATGAACCTATCAAAAAGAGACAACTAACAATGACCTTTCTTTAGAAAGCTAATTTACCAAATCAAACCCAACCAAGTACCAGAAGACATTCATAACGAGTTAAAAAGCCAATTCAAAGTCAACCAGAATTAAATCTAAATTCAGATGAAGAAGAAGAAAACATACCCTCTTCACCTTCATCAGATCATTATCAAAAGAAATCTAAAGAGTTAATTAGATCTAAGAAACCAATTTGAACATGTGAAACTTCAATTAGAAAACCTAAAACTAAATCAACAACTAATCAAAACCCAAAATAACAATAAGTTCAAGAGATTGATCACGATCATGATTCACTGGAACTGTCATTGAAGGCTTTAATCCATTAGGGGCACGTTGGAGCACGAAGCAGAAGTATCAGAATTGATCCGACTAGATGAGACAGGCAACGCTCCTTCAGTTAGTTCATTGATACTGATCGAGGGTAGACTAAAAAGGCTAATCTCTCATGGCGTTCACACTGCATAGAACATGAACCGTTGCGCAGTGTCTATAACGATCAGGACTACTGGATCTTTGGCAAATTCATCTTCCAAGACAATCATGGTTGATCTCGTTGTCCGAGGTATCATTTTACACATCGGCCCGCAATTCACATGTATTCGAGATTTACTAGCGTTTGTCAAGGCACCTCCCGGTGTGAGATTCCAAGCTTTTTATCTCTTCACTGACTTTGAGCTGATGATGATTGAGAGAAATCCGTGTTGGTAGGCGTTTGAAACTCCGGGTCCAAACTATTTGACTCGAGTGCGTATCTCATTACGATCAACTTCAATAAGAGTTTCACCACCTCCATCGTCTTCGAGCGACAAGACTCCACAATTCATTCTCGCCGGATGATTTGATGATTTTGGTTGTAATGTGAAATTGGATCCATCATCCTCAGATGTATCGCCGGAGATACAGGGTACATTGACCCTGCTATTGGCTGAAGGTCAGAGTGTGAGTAATCTTCTGGCTATGCATCAGTTTATCACTTTTATCAATAGCTGAGGTTGGTTTATCTATCAATTGACTATGATGAGCCAGAGTGTGTTTGTTCGTCTGGCTAGGTTCTCGAATCTACGGATTGGAGTTTCTTATTCGACAGAAACCGGTAGACTACGAGTTGAGTGATATCTCGAAGAATTGTGAGATTTGATATCCTGATCAATTAGCTCCTCTTCACCCTTAGGGATGTGTGCACAGTGGCTCATTGGAAGTGTCGCTATGTGCTGACTCGACTGAGAGCTTAGGGGATGTGATTGCTGGTTTGGGTCAAATATCGTTGACGGAACAAAAGTCTGAGTAAGTCATCTCAGCGGAATGCGAATGCAAACGCATCAAGATTGACTCTCTTCTTAATTTGTCATGTTGCGACCATCTAGGGTTGAACTCGATTATGATCACACTGAAGAGCCGTCTCAGAGTCAAGAAGATTTACAAGCAAGTCTATTAAGTAAGCCTCAAGCCGATAAGCAACTTGTAATCCAAACTGACCATCACCAACCTGATAATTAGAATCAGCAATACAAGACACTCGTTTTCGTAAACCGCTTCTACCATTTGAACTGGGTGAAGACTTGGTACATGAGGATTACCCCTCGGATGCTGATTTTGTGCAAGCTAATTCGGCCCGAACCGGTCTTAAAACCAAACTTACCGACTCGCATCTTCCTTCTATCATCCGAAATTACATCCTGATGGTCCTCAACAT